GCCAAATGAGTTTGTAGATTAGCTTCAAACTGTTGAACAAGTATTTGAATATAAAAAGATTCTAAATGCACAAAAAGTCAAGATTGTCGCCTTTAAACTCAAGAAACATGCCTTTATTTGGTGGGAAAACCTGAGATAGAAGTAAGAACAAAAGGAAAAGCACAAGATTGAGACATGAGAAAAAATGAGACGTTGACTCACTCGAAAATTTCTATTAGATCATTACCACCAGAATAACTTTCTCCAGATATAAAATCTTCTACAGAGGTCTTTGTCTGTAGAAGAATATACTAGAGAATTTGAACAACTCATGATAAAGTGTGACATTCAAGAAAAAGAGGAGAAAATAATAGCCCGATACCTTGTAAGCTTAAACACAAATATCAGCCGTCTAGTCCAACTTCAATAGTATTAGACCTTAGATGATGTAAACTATTTAGCCATGCATGTTGAGAAGCAAACACCCAAGAGAACATCTTTCTACCCTCTTTCTCTAGGGGTTATTCAGTTGCCCATAAGGTAAAGTTTTAGCAGACCAACCTCTAAAGCAAGCCACAATTTGGCACTATGCATAAACTATCGCTCAATACCACCAACGAATTTGGCTCTAAAGCAATCAAATGCTTTAAATGCCAAAGATTCAACCACATTACTATGGATTGCCCTACATGGAGGATTGTCACCATTAGGGAAGGGCAAGTGTATGAAGCACTTGAAGAAGATAAGGAGAAGACTAAGTCTTATGAGACCACTCTAGTATATGATGAAGAAGTTACGCTTGCAGATCAAGTTAAAGCATTTGTGATTAGACGAAGTCTATATATAACCGTAGTCAAGGAAGAACCTTGGCTACGATGCAACATTTTTCACACCTATTACATGGCCTAATGAAAAGTTTGTAATGTCATTATTGGTAATGGAAGCTGTGAAAATGTAGTGTCCGACTGCATGATTAAGAAATTAAAGCTACCAACATAAGACCATTCGCATCCTTACAAGCTTTACTGGCTTAATAAGGGGAATGAGGTAAAAGTTTTTAAACAGTAATGTCTTGTGACTTTTTCTATTGGGAACAGATATTGTGATGAAATTTTGTGTGATATTGTTTCTATGGATGCATGCCACCTTCTTTTGGAGAGACCGTGGCAATATGATCGACATGTTGTGCATAATGGCATGCAAACACGTATTCTTTCACAAAAGATGGTGTCAAGTTCACACTAGCGCCTCTATTACCTAACAAGATTAGCTAGTCTTCAAGGAAATCTAACGCTTTTAAGCCATTGGTGTTTTTGATGACTAAGGAGAAATTCAAGGTGATGAAATCCAAAGCTCAAGTGTACAATGATTAGAGATAGTCTAAGGACCACCATTAAGAATTCTATTATAAGTAGATTGGTCCTTAGTTCTAATAATGTAGTAACTATTAACCAAATCTATTAATTCATAATATTTTAATTGCCAAATTCTAGCAAACCTGGGTTTGAGAAATTTAAGATTAAGATGTAACCCTAGTGTGTTGATGACTATAGCATTCATCTAAGGCAAGCATATTTTCTTTCATTCCTCGTTAGAGATTTGTAGAGCTAAGTACTAATCCATTAGCTTTTCTGTTCTTTCATATGGCGACCATTCCTCATCGAGCTCTTTAGCAAGGACTTCATTATTATGACTTATTTCTCTCATAGTGGTGATTCCATAACAACCATTATAACCAATCAACAAATCTTTATAAGAGATAGGAGCTTTTATCTCTTAGAATGATGCTGGATTATTGTAATTTGCAATAGCTATAAGACCATTATTAGATTGTATTTCCATTGGATGATCATGATGGTTCATGGACATAGCCTTCTTATTATGTTGAATTTGAATTTCTAATAATTACTGTACTTCTGTATCTTTATCAATCATCTCATCATCTGGCTTTAAATTATTGTTGAGTAGTAAGTCAATCTCCTATTTAGATGCAAGTGGATTCATGGTCTCTTCGTGGGATGATGATGTTGAGAAAATGAAGTTAGGATTAAGTAAAGGCTTGGTAATCATAGAGTAGAGTGGAGGACATGATTTTATGTTCAATCGAGTGATTGATTACTTTCAAGGAAGTTCGAGTAGGCTAGAGATTTTTCATTTCTCCACAATCATAGATTAAAGGAAAAATTAATCGTTTGATCCTTGTAGTTTTAATTTTGTTGCAATTCAATCCTTGAACTTTGACTCGTTATAACTCAATCCTTGAAATTTTGATTCGGTTGTAAATTAGTCTCTAAACTTTGCCTCTTGTAATTTAGTTCATGAAGTTTCAACCTCTTAAATATTGGTCTCTATATTTTAAAAAATAAAATTATAAAGATTAAAAATATTTTAAACTTTTAATATTTACAATATTTATAGAGATTAAAAGGGTTTAATAATTTAAAATATTAGTGATAAATTTAAAAATATTTTTAATCTTTATAATTTTATTTTTTTAAATATAAAAATTAATATTTAAGAGGTTGAAATTTTAGAGGCTAAATTGCAAGAAGCAAAGTTCAGGAATTAATTTACAATCGAATCAAGACTTCAGGAACTGAATTATAACGAGTTAAAATTGAGAGATTGAGTTACAATTGAATCAAAATTATAAGAATTAAATAATTAATTTTTTTAGATTAAAAAAACCTAACTCCTTAAAATAAATTGTTAAATCATGTCAATTTACCTGACTCTTCATATCACCAGGTTGGAACTATAGATCTCTTATACTCGCACAAGAATCAATCAATCCATGATGCCAATGAAGCTAGGCCTATATCTCTGGGCTTCTGGCGCTAGAAAACACTTGGCTGACAAACCTGTCCCGTCTCTAATATATTTGTGGCTTTTGATTCATACTTATGCTCTAATATATTTCGCTGTCTTCGTCCAACTCGCCACCCTAATTTCCCCTATTCGTTGCTTCTTACCATTCAAAACATTTATATTCAATCTTGTAGTTGTAAAATATCTGAGCTTTCAGTTTCTGATGAACCATCAATTCCTCTAAGAGCATGCCATAAGCATCCTCATTTCATCACCCAAGCAAAACACATTACAAAGGGGATTTAGAAAATAGCTAGGAGTGACAATCAATAAAAGTAAAGAAAACATAAGAAAGAGTTATCGTGAATTTGGTCAAATGGTCAAAATGTCGCAAGGTTGCTGGACTTGAGGCATGGCGCGAACAAACTCATTGATCCTCATACATCGGCTACAAAACTTTTTTTTTTTTGTCCTTCAATTCTGATCATTTTGGTCATTCTGATTTCATTTACTTTCATCGTGACAAGCAAAATTTAGAGGAGTGTTCATTTTTCTTTATTGAGGATACCAAACATCCATATTATTATTTCATTCAATTTTCCAGTTTGCTTTCTGTTTCTTTAAAATATTTTCAAAAAAATATAACTTTAGGTTCTTATACTTTGCTTGTATTTTGTTATTGATCTCTATACTTTTTCATGTATTTTTAATCTCTATATTTTTATTTTTTATTATTTTAAATTCCTCTAAGATCTTTATACTTGTTCATGAAGGGATCTAAGAAAAATGAAAAAGAAAAGTAGAAGGACCAAAAATACTGAAAATTAGTACAAAAATCAATAATAAAATATGAGGAAAGTACAAGAACTTAACATTATGTTTTTCCAATATTTTCAATATTGTCCAAAAAAATTCTAATAATTTCCAAGTATTCTATGAACAGAACATTAAACGCACTCGTTGCAAGGTACTTATTTGATACTAATATTTAGCCCACCGACAGTCGTGGTTTAAAAGTAGTCGACACTGAACATTAGATGACTGCCCGGGCAACCCTCATCGGCAACTTGCCTGTTCTTTGCATTTTATATAGAACATGCTCTCGCCAATTGCAACCATTAACAGTGAGGGAAGGAATATCCCAACATGGATCCAATGTCAATCCATTCCTCCAGAGTAGCAATTTAAACCAATGAAAGATCATTAAAATCAAACATCACTAACGTTATCAAGTTTCCTAATTTTTTTATTTTTTGTTTCGGGGTCTATTCAAGTGCTGAAAGCTGATTCTCTTATGAAGTTTCTTTTGAGCAAAGTTAGGCTTTTTGTGGACCCAGTGGCCTGGCAGACCCAACGTGTCTCCCCCATGTGCGTGGCTTCACTCTTGTGCAATTAAGGCCGAAGTAAAAGCCAGCCAGAACCACACATTTATAACGAGGCTTCGTCATTTCCTCTCTTCAAGGCTTAAAATTAAATTAATACCTTTTCACGTCACAAATATACATAGCCTTATAGCCTTCAAAGAACTCAAGGGAATATTTGGCTTTTTCCTCAATTTTTTTAAAATTATTTTACAATATAATTTTTTAAAATTATATTTTAGAACAAAAAAAAATATTAATTTAAAAAAAGTTTTAAAATAAAAAAAATTAACTGATAGCATGATCATTAATGTTTAATAGTGACAATTTATAATAATCATTAATCAAGATAATTATAATTTCTAATAATAAAATATAATGCATTTAAAGAAAACGAAAACAATTTTAAGATATTTTTATTTTTTTATTTAAAAAATTAAAACAATTAAATCTAAAATATTTATTTAAACAAAGTTTTTAATTTTTCCAGTTTTATTAAACATATTTCTTGTTTTTAGTCTGTGTGTCCACTCAGAAGGACCCCACAGCTTGGCCAAAAAAAAAAATACCTTACAGAGACGACTATCAACAGCGTCTCTCCATTTTTTTCCACCCTTTTTCACCAATTTTTTCATCCTCACCATTCATTAATTTTATTATTTAAAAAATTATTTAATAAAAAAATTTAAACGATGAAGATGGAAAAAATGAAGGAAAATGAAAAAAAAAAAAATGAAAAGACCCCACTTCCCCATCGACCACAGCAACTCTCCCTTCTTTAGCTCCCCATTTTTTGTTTTTTGGGGTCTTGTCTGACCCCACTCATCACTCATCCAGCAATTAGGTGAAATCTTTCACAACACAAAATCCCATTACTGGAATTTTTACATTATAATATAATATAATTCTTCCATTAACCAGATTCCTTCTCAACGAACTCGAATCCGTGTTAATACTGCAGATCTGGTCACTCTAATCCAGAAATCCCAACCGTACAAAACACATTCAACCCCAAGGCCATCAGCAGATTACAGAGGCCGAATCAGAATTGGCTACATAATTTAAATCGTAAAAATCATCTGTTCCTCTTATTGAAATTCATCTTCTCGTAGCAACTGATCGACATCAGACACAAGGAAAGATGAACCTCGTCTTTGCCCAGCCGAGACGGTGGCTTCGATGGAATCTTCTTCGGGACCGCAGCCCAAGCCGACGACGAAGATGACGAGGCCGAACACGCCTGCGGCTTGGATAGAGGCCCCAGGTAAAGCGCGTGAAGACGACGGAATCCGCCGAGTGCAAGGACCACCGTACGCAGCTGCTGCTCGCTACAGCCGGTGTTTGCCCACTGCTTGGAGCAGATCAACTCCCACAATCGCTCGTCCTGCGCCGTCCTATGCCACTGCTTGCTCACGCATCCCGCCATCGCCAGCGTCTTCGCGTCCACGTGCTTCAGCACCTCGAACAGAAGATTCTCATCCAGATAAACAAACCCGCCGGAGTTTTCCGCTGTTCGATCGTCGGGTTCCTCGTCGCTCTCCGTCAGCTTAGCCTTCTTCATCTTCCTCTCATCGCCAGCAGCCGGTGTGCCATCACCGGGAAGGAGCCTCTTCATCCCTGAGCGGCTAAGCCTAAATTACAAGCGGGCTCTGTTCGCCGCCTACTGTTTGCAACGAGCAAGAAGAAATCTCGAGGTGCGTTGTTCTGGTGGGGTTTGAAATTTAAAGGAAGAGGAAGGATTGAAGGGAGCGCCTGATCGAAGAAACTGAGAGAAAGTACGATGAGGAGGGCGCGAGGGCAAAGATAACGGAGGGGGTAGTAGAGTAAAAGTGAGGGTTAGGGGGAGGCAAAGCAAAGCAGAGGATCTGTATCGCACCCGTTCGTGACGGTTTTTGAAGACGACAAGATGTGTAATGAATGCGTTTGGATTCCTTTTTTGGTGAATAGACCCACTTGTCCGGAGCCTCATGGCTCATGGCCTCATGCTTTTGTTTCTATTCACTTTCTCCTCATTCCTCCCGCTCTGTTCTCTTCCTCCTTTCTTTTTTCATGTTTCTTTGCTACCTGACAAACACAAATACGACAAAGCGTACAACACTATATACTAATTTTTTTTTAAAAAAAAACTTTAAACTTCAGACCGAAAAACCCAATACAATGAGAACAATCATCGAAATTGCCAAAAAATTTTCTCACAAGCATAACTTCTAGATTCGTTATTAAAGCCAAAGAGAATGTGGTTGAAATGCCTTGTTCGTGGGTGACGCTCTTTTATATAACAAACTTGACTGCCAAATTAAATAGTTTTCAGGTTTGGACTTTGGAGGATGTTTTATATCTTTTATATGGAAAAGATACAAAACTAGTCTCCTTTGAGCACAACTCTGTAATTAGAATTAGAATATTACAAAATTAGATCTATTATGAACAATGACAAAGTAAAAACTTCACCTATCAATCAAGAGGGCAGGGGCGCCAGTGTTTCGATTTGAATGACAAACCTTGACCAACGAGGGGTCATTTTGGTATGAGAAATTTTCAGACTTTGTCATTATAAAAAAAACGTTAGGTTTGGAAAAAAGGTGTAACAATCGATGACCTATGATATTAAGGTATGTTTGTTTTCTGTTTCTAAAATTATTTTTATTTTTAAAAAAAAAAAAAATTAAAAAAATTGTTTGGATAAGTGTTTTTATTTAGTTATTTTTAAAACTGTTTTCATTTTTATTTTTTAAAAAAATAAAAAAATTGTTTTCATTTTATTTTTCTTATTTTAAAATACACTACATTTGATTATTAAAAATTATAATTACCTTGACTAATTTCTATTTGAAAGCTATCAAAGACAAGAGAGATAAATTAAAAAATGACTAAAAAATATCGTATCTATTATTGAGATATAAAAATTACATTATATACACAAAAAAAATAAAATACAATAATGATTAATAACTATATAACAATATCTTCTAATAATAATTGAGATATATACACAATAATAATAAAAGACATTTGAAAACTATTTTAGATAACATTCCCCTCAAACTCAAGATGCCTAATAGAAAGCAACTTGAGTTTGCCTACTAAAAATTGAAAGTGACCTGGATAAAAAGACTTTATAAACAAGTCTACCAACCAGTACTTGGTTCGAATTGAAATAAGTTAAATGGTGCCTCGAACAACATGTTGCCAAGTAAAGCGATAATCAATCTTAATGTGTTTGGTTTGCTCATAAACACATCACTGTGAGCAATACTGATTGTAGCTTGACTATCACAATAAATGTCCGTAGAGTAACTCTGAGATGCTCCCAACTCATCAAGTAACTAACGAAGCCAAAGTACCTCAGCAGTAATGTCTCTGGTGCATGATATTCTGATTTAGCACTAGAGCGAGAGGCTAATGTCTGCTTCTTACTTCTCCAATAAATAAGGGAATGATCAAGGAAGATACATAAACCTGTCATTGACCGTCAATCATCACAATCATCATCTCAATCGGCATCAAGGTAAGCTCGCAGTGCAAGAGAGGAGCTAGCAAAGAAGTAAAGCCCATAATACATAGTGCCTTTGATATATTGAATGATTTGAAAAACTGCTAGATAATGAGTTCTGCGAAGTTCAGACATAAACTGGCTGGCAACATGAACTACATGGACAATATCAGTACGGGTGACAGCAAGATAGATGAGGCCCCTAACTAGTTGGCAGTAGTAACGGGTGGGATTATCCAACAAGGTGCCATTAGTGAAAGTATAGTGAACATTTGATTCAATAGAGTAGTAGTTTCAACTTCTTTATCAAAAAGGTGAACTCGAGATATCAAATGAATGGCATACTTGACTTGAGAGAGATATATACCATCATTCCCGTGGTAGACCTCAAACTTAAGAAAATAGCTCAATCTGCCAAGATCCTTCATTTCAAATTAAGGCCTAAGTATGTCTTGAGCTTCTAAACTCTTGTATCATCACTACTTGTGATAATTATGTCATCAACATACAGCAAAAACATAACAATATCACGATCAGTGGAGCGAACAAAAGAGCCGAGTTGTGAGGACTATAAGAAAAATTTAATCGATTCGTAGAGCTTGCTTGATCCTATATAGGCTTGATAAAAATGACAAACCTGTCTTTTAGATGTTGATACTTAAGGGCTTCATATACACTTCTTCTAGATCTCCATTTGGAAAGGTATTTTTAATATCCATCTAGTAAAGAGGCCAGTACTTAACAGCAATAATGGCAAGAAGGCCGTGAACAGAAGTCATGCGGGCAAACAGGTGCAAAAGTTTCCCATAGTGATGCCATACTCCTAAGTGATCCTTAGGCCATCGAGCGGGCCTTATGTTGCTTCAAAGAGCCATCAGAATGAGTCTTGTTCTTGTAGACCCATTAACACCCAACTAAAGTTTTACAAGGAGGAAGATTAATAAGATCTCAAGTATTTATTTTCTCTAGGGCCTGCAATTCATCATCCATAGCTTGCTGCTAAAGGGGATCACGAGAGGCTTCCTTAACGGATTTGAGTTCCTGGAAGTGGAAAATGGTGAAAAAATAATAGTAATCATTGAGGTAAGAGAGAAGATTTCTTACACAATTAGGCCGAGAGTCTGTGAATGATATGGGCTCAGTAGGCGTAACTATACTGGAGGAGCAATAGGTGTGACAGTAGGCACATCTAGAGTAGGTGCAGCATCAATTGTGGAAACAAGCTTAATAGAAGAATCTATAGCAGTCACTAGGAAAAATATCAATAAAAATAGGGGGTGAAAAAGATGAGAATAATGAGAGATCAATTAGAGATGAAATTTGATATTTTCCCAAAAGAAAACATGCTGAGAAATACAAAACGATGAGAGAGAGGATTCCAGCAACAATAACCCTTATGCTTAAAATCATAACCAAGAAAACAACAAACATGAGAATGAGTTTGAAGTTTGTTTGTCTCATGAGACTAAAAAGAACAAACAAAACATAAGCAAAGACTTTTGGAGACTTAATGAGGAGGATAACTATAAAGATGCTTAAAAGGAGAAATGTTATTAATGACAGGAGACAGGAGTCGATTGATGCAAAAGACAGAGGTTAAGACTTCTTCACCCAAAAGTCATTCCAAGACAAGAAGAAGAAAATGAGCAATGCTCTAACAAAATTAAACAATATGACGGTGTTTATGCTCAACACAACTATTCTGTTGAGAAGTATAAGGACAAGAATATTGAGAAATAATAATCTCGAGAATTGAGAAAGGTGAGTAATTTAGAGTGATAATATTCCAAAGCATTATCACGACTAAAAATTTTAATGACTTTAGAATAATGAGTGTGAACCATAGTAGCAAATTTGATATAAAATTTAGGTAAATTAGATCAATGTTTTGTCATATAAATTTAGGTAAAATGAGAAAAATTATCAATAAAAATCACAAAATATTGAGACCTTGCCATAGAGGGAATCGGTATAAGGCCCTAAACATTAGAATGAATCAAATCAAATGAAAAAGCAGCAATAGAATCATTTTTATGAAAAGACAAAGAGGGTTGTTTGGTAGTTTGACAAGAAACGCATTGCAAAGAATGGCTATGAACATGACCTAAAAGACCACTAGTAATTAAATGATAACTTTACTCAAGAAGGGTGAGCAAGATGACGATGCCATAGGTTGAGAGAAGAATCAGGGGAAAAGGATGTGAAGGCAGCACATAATATGGGAACAGTGATCTCAGGTATGTTCATTAAGGTGAGCTCGAATATGCGACCAACTTTGCGCCTGATCCTGACAACATGTCCTATTTGAGAATCTATCACAACATAACCGCATTTATTTAAATAACATGTCATAACCCATATCAACAAGTTGTCTAACAAAGAGAAGGTTAAAATTAATGGTAGGAACAGAAAATGTATCATGAATAGATAGGGGAGGCAAGGAGACAGTATTGATATGACTAATGCCATTTGAGAATATCAGCAGTGTGTATAGGATAGGCAGTAGGTTTAAGTGTCATAGAAAAGGAGAAATTTTCTGACATGTTATATGATTGCAATAATCAAAGTCAAAATACCAAGTGAATTTATCAATGAGAGTAAATAAGGCAGTAAATGGGCTAGAAGAACTAGAGATGAATGTACGCAATAAAGTTTCAAGTTCGATCGGAGAGGGTCCTAAAGTAGGCTAAGCAAGATCACATTTTCCAACTAAAGATGATAATGCAACCATTTAAAGTAACTAATACGAATTGACCAACATTTGAATTTTTCATTTTTTTAAGGGGAAAAAAGGAAACTTTCATATGATTGCATTAGGTTATTCAACTACTATTGGGTTAGAAAGGCTTCAAGATAAAGCTTTTTTTCCCTTAAAATGGGTAGGGGAATTGTTCACGAAGAGTCTATTAAAGACCCTAAAAGACGTAGTCGATTATGGGATCTAATGATGTTTATCAAGTATTAAAATATAATTCGGTAAGAGTGAAATTTGTATAATTTTTAAATTATTTTGGTTTTGAGTAGTGTTTATATTTTGTACTATTTTTACAGGGGACTGAAGCCATTAGAGGCATTACTTTGGACTTGTCAAAACTTGAAGATCTAAATTTAATCCTCATGTGTTTTGAAGGATGCGCAAGCTTAAATTTCTTCAAAATCCACAACACTATTTCCAAAGAGCAAGTCTTGTA